GGGGGGGCTCAACACTATGTCAATATGAAAACACATTCTGAGTGGATTTTGCTGCAAAACGTTGATGAAAGGAATTACAGTTGTGTTGCAATACGGTAGAATCAGATGCTCGTCAAACTTTCTTAAAGCTTGTTCATTTGTCTTGCTTTTGATGACAATAAAATACCCCATCTAGAGAAAACAGAAGTCGAGACATTTGCGATTGAAGGTGGTTGGGGAGCGATCGTTGGGGAAGGGGGGGGAGGGTGTCGCCTAGTGTCAGAGATAAAAATAGCGAGGAAGAGGCCGCCAAAGTTTGATGACTTCCAAAGCTTGAGTGTCCTTAGAAACTACAAATTTACATTTCCTGTGCCTTTGATCAAAGTTTTAAAGTAAAATCCACACAGAAATCTGTTTTAAACGAGCATAAAAGGTGACGAGCTAGCAGGAAAAACACACCCAACAAACAAAAACAAGCAAAAAAACAAAACAAAAACCAAATTTATGTTTGATAAAAACAGTCGGAAAGATGCCGATTTCTTCGATTTCAGCAACTCGACTAATAGCCCGATTTCACCCCGATGACGTATTTGCGCGGCGACAAAGCGTTATCCGGGGTGGCGATAAAAAGTTGCAGATTCACGTTTCGTTGATATGTGGTTAACATAAGTGAAAAAGTACCCGTTTCGCTGACAGCCGTGTCATCCATTCCCAACTGTAACAGTATTCTATGATAGATACTCCGTCGGTCCAATAACATACCAAGTGGGTGGTGGAAACTGTGTCGAGACCTGTTTTTTTTTTTTGTTTTTTTTTTGTCCCTGGCCCATTTTACGAGATTGACGCCATTTGATTAGTAGAAAAAAGTGCACATAGTACTGTCCAATAGTGCAATGTGTATCACGTGATATACTTTAAAAATATGTAACACACTAAAACAGGTAATACATGTACACTTAAAAAAGAGACTCGTAACAGTGCCAGACTTAGACATTTAGTAAAACCCATGAACGAAAAATCACTGCATTTGAGGTGAAATCCGCAAAACCCTAAACATCACAGTAAGTTACAAGAGGCAGGTAGACAATAAATGAAGACGTGCAAGCTACTATTGGCACGGAGTCCTGCCTGCCTTTTTAAGAAAAAGAGAAGAATTAAAGTCATGGTTTGGCCACCTGTTACAAATTTCACATTTCTCCAAGCCAGCCAGCCTCGAAAGCCTATAAATATAACTATAACACCAGTCACTAGTACTCAGGCTCAAACTCCCCAGAACTGCCCAAGTCGAAAACTCCCCCGTTGGGTATTCGAACCAGGGCTATCCACTCTTCCAGTCACCATGGTACATTGTACCATGATACCAACAGAGCTTAGGGTGCGTCCAATCCTAAAGGTTGTGGGAACTCAATCGAAAGTTCTGTAAACTACCTTCCTGTATAGAAAAGGGCGTAGAAAGGGCGTTTATCTGACATTTATGACATTCTAAATGTTGGATGTACACAAGGTTCTTCCTTTAGTAAACACACACACACACACACACACACACACACACACACACACACACACTCACACACACACTCACACACACACT